GCGTTGCGTCATAGGTGAACAAAATAATAATTTTACAGCCCAGCGATTTCTACAGTTGTTTAATTCTTAAAAACAGATCTATCAAATGAGAGCCGCAAATTTCGTCTGAAATTATCTGGGACGTTTCCTTACGCATATAAAAAAGGCAGAATGAAATACGAAATTAATTTCTAGTTTAAACCAAATATATTGTTAATATGCATAGATCTGAGAAGTAGCTTATGATTTTCTCTTCGGAAAACATTAAATTACGACTTATTTTACAGTTACAAACATTAATTCATCTGAATTAATGACACACAATTAAGTTAATTATTAATATTCTAGAAGAATATGAAACTTTCCGAACTGTTATTATAAAACCTTTGAATTATGATCTTGCATTCCTTTTGATGTAAAAATCATACCAGTGGAGAAAAATTCATGAAACAACTTTACTAAAAAATAAATGACTCTCGGATAGTTTCTTCCTTTGAAAATCTCCATATTTAACTTATCTCCTAGTTTTCGGAAGAAACCCCCATATATTACAGGAATATAACTTAAGACACACATTATGCATTTCAGGTTTTTGTTTTTTATTTTGTGTTTCTTTGTATTTCTTTCTTAGGTTGAATGGATTTCTACTGTAGTATATGCCTTTTCTGCAGATATAAGCATCTGCATAATTAGTTTCTGGATTGTATATTTGAGTGAGATAGAAATTCTCAGGATTATCGTGCTTAAATTTGAGATTTATTGCATCATAAAAAGGTAATGTTGTGTTATTACTTACTGTCATTTAGATAATACCAGTCTGTAAGCGTTGGACATCTTGGGAAATATATTATTTCCTTCTTGGTAGCTATAACTTTAACATACAGCCCGCATATGGCAGCCATCCAGTCTTTGGGATGAAATGTTTCTACTTGGCGGTCATGCTTCTCTATCTTTCCAAAGTCTGGTCACAGAGTAATCTAATATGGCCTACTTGGGAGCCAGTGAGTGTCTTCCACTTAGTATCAATATTCGCTCCAAGGTAATGATTGAACCTTTTTTATTTTGTTCGTTGGAGTTGCCTCTTATAATGTGAAGATTTTCTTGCATTTGAATTCGAGATATGGAAATTTTTAGTGAATAGCTTTCCACCTCATCTACTCCTCTTATTGCTTAGTTCTCAGTCCATCTTTTCCATTTACATCTTCCATCATTTGACAGAAATTGATCATCTCCATCACTTTCGTCAGTTTAATATAAAAATTTGCACTTATTTGCAATAATAAAATCAATCCTCATCCTTGCTGATGCCATATTAGTTCCTTGATTCTATCATGCGAAAAATACTGAACTAACGAGAGAGGCAGGTAACATTGACTTATAAATCCATATTCAATCATCAAATGGCAGGAAACCCACAGGACCTCTAATGATTAAGCACTATTAGCATTATCTCAAATTTTACTGAAGTGTGGATAAGAACTAACTGACGTAAAGCATCAGTTGATTGTATTGCTAAAAATATCTACTTTTCAGCACCTTTAGATTTATTCACTCAAAAAACAGTAAAAACTATATGTGACATACGGGGGAAAAGATTATCTGCGCACGTTTTCTTGCGTTCCAGAATCCCTTCCCGTCATTTTAACTATAAATAGTTTAAAGATGAGTAAAAGTTTAACGTAAATAAAAATAAATTTTAAGAATTGCAAGATTAGCAATATTTAAAAAATAGTCATTTTTGTTTGTGAGTTGTAGAAAATTTATTTGCATCGGTACACGAATTGCAAGGATGATATTTCTGCATTGCTAACAAAATAGTAACTCGCCCTTACCTCAACCCTAATATTAGAAGCAAAAGGAGAGTTCAACAAAACGTGCGCATATTGAAGCTACATTTACGTCCAGAAGCAAAACAAGGGGCCATCTCAGCATTTGCTCAATAGATCAGGGAAACTGGACAAAAACCTGATCGAGATGGGGGTCATTGACCCGGAAGCTGAAGTACATTATTTGTTACAAACATATTAAGTGTTTTAAAAAACATATACAATAGAAATGAAAACTAATTCATTATATATCACTGTTTTGTAAAAATAAACATTATTTTCCTTTTTGATAATAAGTATAGCCTCGAATTGTATAGAAACAGTTATGCAGCAGAAAAGATTTTTCTTTTAGCTTAAATTTTTGAACCGACATTAATTGTTTAATGTCATCTGGCAGTGCGTTGTAAAGTAACGTACATGTATTGTATGTGGATTTGTGATAGTGAGCTGTAGATACTGACACTTGATGAACGTGATTTTTACGACGTGTGTTGTAATTATACATATCAGTACTGTATGAAAAAATATTCCCACCGTTAAGTAAGTCACTTTTGACAAATATTATAGATTTGTAACTATATAGGCAAGGCAGTGGTAAGATTCCAAGCGCAATGAAGAAAGGCTTGTAAGGATAACACGGATGTCATTTTTTCATTTTTTGAATAATTTGCATTTACAATCTAAAGGTGTGAGTACTACACGAGTTTTCCCACAATTTTATACCATATCTCAGGCGGAAATGTACATTTGCAAAATACATGCAACGAGCTGCATGAAGGCTGACTGAATTTGATAGAATTCTGAATGCGTAACGTAATGAACATAATTTAGTGTTTAATTTTGTTATATGTACATTCCATTTGAGGTTTGACTGAATTGACAGACCTAGAAATTTTGTTACCTTAACATCACCAAATTGCATATTATTAATTTTCAATAGAGAATGCGATTGCTGATTTGAAAGACAAAAATGCATTAAAACGGTTTTTCCTTTAGTAACTTTTAATTTGTTATTACAAAAACAATTTGAAACTTCTAAAATCGTTCTATTTATTGTTTCACTTTTGCAGAAAACATTCGGGTCATCAGCAAACATAACCGTTCTTCCGTTTTTAATAGACGACGGCATATCGTTTACGTATAACAGAAAGAGAATAAGACCTAACATCTAGCCTTGCGGAACTCCACATTCATTTGCTAAAGAATAGGAAAGATATGTAAACAATGTCCTTTCGTGCCAGTACGGTATTTCTACTCTTTGAGATAGATGTTTAAGGTACGAAGTTATTCGATCTAGGGCGATACCACGAATTCCATAAGAAAGTAATTTCGATAGCAAGATGTCATGGTCAATAACCTCAAAACTTTCGAAAGATCTAAAAATATATCAATGGATGCTTCATTTTGGTCCATTGATGAAGCAACATCTTTAAGAAAAGAAAAATGTTAGTTTCCGTAGATTTTG